CTAGACAAAATGTGGAGGAGAGAGCCTTGAGAAGGATCCTACAAAATGCCTATTTTCTAAAGAGTTTGACAGAAACTCAGGCAGTCGTCCAACCAATGGAAGGGTTGACTAACACTTGTTAAAGAAAGATGGAGTAAAAATGGTCTGATTTTTAAAATTTCAATCACATAATGTTATTGTCCTGTGGGGACAGGATAGGCCTTTCTTAGAGAGAAGAGTTCTTATTAAATTTTGAGGAATTAACTGATTTTGTAGTTATTCATTCAATATCAATCCTATATTAATATCAATAATTTTAGGTACACTTATGTTTCTTTTAGAATTCAAAAAGTAATGATAGGAGGAGCTGATTATTGTACATCAATTGTATGTGCTTAGTATGTGTTAATATCATTCATGATGACAATCATTATTATCTGCATTTTACAGCAGATGAATTAGGGCCAAGAGATTACTTTGCTTGCTCATGGTCAAAAGTTAATGACTAGCATATCCCAGGACCAGTTCTCTCAGAGTCCTGAGCCCAAAGGTTCCATCTTCTTACTCTGGAACCTATTGGAAAACATACTTCACAACCTGTGGTCTCTGTTAAGGGAGAGAAGAGACCTGCAGGATGCCAAGTTAAAACTTAATTTGTTAAAAAAACTTAATTTGTGCTTTCATGGTAGCATGTGTAAGAGATACAAGGGTTTGCAGAAGCCAAACTTTCTATACCTGGGTAGTAGTGCTGCTGGGAGAGGCTGATCAGTGCATTGGGTATATCAGTGAGGGAGGATGACAGCCACTTGTGCTTCCCAGCTAGAAATATGAGCAGGTAGAAAGGATTCCAGGGTGTTCCTGATATCTGGGTCACCCTTTCAGACGACCCCAGCAGCTCAGTCCCTCCTGAGTCCCTTCTGTACAAACTCTTCCCCAAGGTCTGGAATTGGAGGCAATTAATCTACTTTGTTTCTGTCATTAACCAGGAGCTTGGGGACTTTTCCCAAGTCCTCTTTGTGATTTTTAAAATGGTATCCTCCTGCCTTTTGCTCTGGAGCTCAAGGACAGACCCAGAAAGCTCAGGAGATCCTGGGTTTACAGAGGCTCACCTGTTACTTATTTGTTCCTTGTGTCCCTAACAGAAGCTGAGGACTCAGAAAACTGTTTGAATTAACAGGTGCCTGAGCTCACCAATGACTGGGAGGGGTCAGAATGAGCTGGAAATTCTAGGTTGGCAAGGTGTGTCTCTGGGTAGAGGTCTGCAGATAGATCTCATGTATATTCCATATGTATTCTGTATGGTACTTCTTTGCTGTGTAACATATGTGTATGTATCTTTTCCTTGTGAATTTTGTCTCCGTGTGTGTGTGTATGTGTGTGTATGTTAGTGATTCAGCCTGGTTCTTTTTCTTAGACCCAGAACAGACAACTCTAAGTAGGCTCACATTAAGCAAGAGTAGACTACTATTGTGTGTATCTCCTAATCATTCCCTTTACTCTCAAATATTTACTTCACTCTCCTTCTATACCTCCTACAATTTCATCTGTGAACAGACATGATAGTTAAGTAAATGAGATTGGAGAGTCTGAAGTGAGACAAATGCATTCAGCAATCTGGAGAAGTGTTTTGAATTTACTCACAACCAGAAAGAGATCTGCAGTCTCTACATAGCAAGGTGGGTATGTCTGATCTTTTTTTTTTTTTTTTTTTTTTGAGACAGAGCCTCAAGCTGTCCCCCTGGGTAGAGTACCATGGCATTACAGCTCACAGCAACCTCCAACTCCTGGGCTCAAGTGAGTCTCCTGCCTCCACCTCCCAAGTAGCTGGGACCACAGGCGCCCGCCACAACGCCCGGCTATTTTTTGGTTGCAGCCGTCATTGTTGTTTGGCGGGTCCGGGCTGGGGATTCGAACCTGCCACCTTAGGTGTACATGGCTGGCGCCTTAACCGGTTGAGCTATAGGCGCTGAGCCGGTATGTCTGATCTTGTGTTTTGTTTCTGAGTTATTGCATGTTAAGTGTGCTCTGTGTGTGTGTGGACATGCATGTGTATTTTCTGTTTGGTTTATTTTCAGGTAGTGTTTATGTGCTTGTATCTCAGAGTGAAATGGGCCCGAGTGACTCACTGACTCATGACTTTCACCTATATTGGGTATAGGTCAGTGGGGGCTGGAATCCTGTCCTGCAATGAGGGTCTGTGGTATATGACCATGTGTGTTGTTTGTTGCCTGACTGGAAAGAGGCATGTATGTGAAACTGGTATTTTTTTAATGATGTTTGTGTGATATGCTTGACCTTGTGTTATTCTTGTTTCATATATGTGTTTGATTGCATGAGTCTATGTTCAAAGCATGAATTTATACATCTGATATGTGATTTTTATGTGTTGCTGATTGTGTTGTTTGTGTTGAAATTATGTAAGTGTTTGTGTGTGGTTGTATGGGCTCTCTGTGGTGTTGTATATCAAATATTGTGTATCATTTGTGAGTTTTGTTTCTATGACTTTGTAAACTGAATCACACAATTACTGTCCTTTCTTTAGGATCACTGTAGGTCTCAGGTGGACACAAATTGGCAATTTAAATGTATCCGTGTGTGGTGGTGTGTACACATGTATGTTTCATGTATGTGTTTCAGGGGCTCTGGTTGGCCTCTATGAACTAAAATATTTCTTTAACTGTTTTTCAGTAGTGGCCATATTTCTGCATTGGGCAGGCAGGTTCATGTGCATTTTCGCCACTGGCTGTGTATGTTTTTGTAATCTTGAGAAATGACTTCAGCTCTCTGAGATCCAGACTTCTTACTAGTAAAGGAAGGCAACTATTTCCATTGTATAACGGTGTTTTGAGGAATAAATGAGCCAATGCATATAAGTTATTCAGCACCATGCCTGAGACATGGTGCTTAGTAAAAAGGAAGGTTTATTATTATTATTATTATTCTTTTTTTTACTGTACAATCTCACTTTTATAGTGAATCTAAAAATGTTGAACTTATAGAAGTAGAGAACACATAAATGGTTGCCAGGGCCTGGTGGCACTAAAAGTGAAGTTAAGTTCTTTAAAGCATATAAACTTTCTTTTTCTTTTTTTAAAATTGTTTGGGATTCATTGAAGGTACAAAGAATTAGGTTACACTGACTGCATTTGTTAGATAAAGTCCCTCTTATAATTGTGTGCCGCCCCCAAGAGGTGCGCCATACACTGTGACCTCCCCTTTCTTCCCTCCTCCCCTATCCCTGCTCCCTCATAAAAGGAGGGATTTTTACTACCTTTTTCAAAATCCAATATTCCTGTCATGGAAATTCTTTCTCCATTGTCTGGGGAAGCACAGTAGAAGTCAGAGAAAACTGACCATTCAAGGGCTCCGCCTCACACTTCAGCATTACAGACTGACTTCATTTTCATGGTTCACGGGCCTGGCTGTTTTTTTTTTTTTATGTAAGACTCTACAGAAATCACAGTTCCTGGTTGGCTCTGGCTATCCTCTGGTTTTCTTCTGGTTTCCCGGTGAGTGCTGACACAGAGTACATCAGTGGGCAGGTGGGCCTCAGTATAAAAGTCCAGTCAGTGCCCTCTTTGATGGCCATGAACCTAGATAATCTGTGTCCCAGTCAAGTTCATAGTCCCGAAGGAAGACAAGCTGTCGTGCTCCTACACTTAAGTGGAACGGGCAGTCTTTAGTCTCTTCTTGGGGCATGTATTTGGTAATCCTGGCCTCTCACCCAACCTCTCAGTCAAAGAAATATTGAATCTGGAATCCACTGTCCAACAGCTGAGTGACTTTGTGTTGGCCATTTATCTCTTTGGGCCTGAGTGTTTTTACATTCATGAAATGAAGAACATAATATTTGCTTTATGCACCAGACAGGCTTTAAATATGTATTTATTGTTTTGAGGGAAGAGAAAGGTATGAAAGCCTTCTGTAAATTGTGTGATGTATACTATGAATGTGAGTGGTAAATTTTTCTAAGCAGGGATTTAAGGGCATTTTGTACAAAACTAGTGGTCCTAAAATAGTCTCTTTGGATATTCTGACTAATGAAGAATATAATTTCTATTCAGAGTAGCTAAAAGCATGGATTCTGGTCAGGTAGACACACAGTGTGATTTTTGCATGTTGTACTTAATTGCACATTTACTGTATGCTTTTGTTTTCTCATTGTTAAAATGGGTAAAATAATAGGGCTTTGTTGAGGATTTAATTAGAAAGTGCATGTGAAACACTCAGAATAGTGTGCAGCACTGTTGTTAATGTTGGGTTGCAAACTTGGATCAGACACTTTTGCTGACAAGGAATTGTAGATCACTCAGAGCAGTAGATCCTGATCAACGACACTGCAACCCTGTGACAAAACTTTAATAGTTCATTACAACTTAGGGAGTTTCACAATCCTTTTAAAGGAAATAATAAGGAAATAATTGATAACTCCCATTTCATTCTCTATTGCTACATATTCACTTTTCTTTTTCTAGATTTCACATATAAGTGAGACATGCAGTATTTTCTTTCTGTGTCTGGCTAAGAGAAACTAGGTTATACTGCAGAAAATAAAGTAAGAAAATAAATAATATCCAGCAGCTACAAGAAAGGGAATAACAGACGCTCATTTCATATTTCAGTCATCACAGTGAATTACTGAGGTTTGAATCTGGCTTAATATAAAGATTCAAATTCCTCCCATGCAGAGACTTTGCATTTCTTATTCACTAGTAGGCACTTATATACTCTGTAGTTAGTGTGGTACCTGGAATGAGGCTGTTGTGGAATAAATACATGCTGAATAAAGAATTAATGTCCTTTTGTTTCTTTGGAAAGAAACTTGGTTAATGTGAGGGTTTGATGTATTATTGGCACTAAAATGAAACAGACTTGTGATTCCTACACCAATGTGTGAGAAATAAACAGAAGGGTAGTCAACATGATAAATTTTTTGTACTAGAAAGACATTTCTGTAATGTTACAGCCGTGCTAGCTGACATTTCCCACTTCCCCCAGTTCCCAACAGAGGTAAGGGCAGCATGAGGCCTGAGAACCAAAGCAGCGTGTCCGAGTTCCTCCTCCTGGGGCTCCCCAGCCGGCCAGAGCAGCGGGGCGTGTTCTTCCTCCTGTTCCTGGGCATGTACCTGACCACGGTGCTGGGGAACCTGCTCATCATCCTGCTCATCCGGCTGGACGCTCGCCTCCACACCCCCATGTACTTCTTCCTCAGCCACTTGGCCTTTTCTGACATTTCCCTGTCTTCTATCACGGTGCCAAAAATGCTGATGGATATGCAGGCTCAGCAAGCATCCATATCTTACGTGGGGTGTATTTCTCAGATTTATTTTTTCATACTCTTTGGCTGCCTTGACAATTTCCTTCTTGCAGTGATGGCATATGACAGGTATGTGGCCATCTGCCAGCCCTTGCACTATATCATCAT